CCAAGCATATACATGGCCATCTTCAAAGTCTCCCAGACATTCTGGGACATGCCTCCGATTCCACCGTCGGGTTGTGGGCCTGCAGTTGAAGATCCGACCATCAATCCACGAGCAGCATCGCCAGCATTCTGCAAAGATAATGCACTCAGTAAATGTTCGGCCGCCTCACGATGTTGGCCCATGTTGATACAGGCGATCGCCAGGTTGTACCGAGCGCGGATATATGAAGGGTTGATGTTCAAGGCATTGAAATAGGCCTCGATCGCTGCCGTGGTGTTGTGAGAATTGGCCAATGTCGCTCCGTACTTGTTCCACAGCATGTAGTCCTACATAAGATAAGCGAAAAGAAAATTGACATGAAAAAAACGAGTAAGCACCAAAATTCCCAAAAACATTCAAGCAGAACAAGCAACAGTCCTTCCAAGCTAGGGATTCTTACGTCTGGGCGGAGATTCAGGGCTGCACGGAAGCAATCAACAGCCTTCTCATATTCTTCAGAGACATTGAAAAGGACACCCAACGCGATTTGAACATCGGGATCCAAGTTCTCGCCAGGGTTTGTCCGGGCAGCCTCCAAGAAAAGACTTGTAACGTATTCATGTCTCTCCTGAGCAGAACGGCCTCTGGCCCCTTGAATATTCTTGATCACACTGCTGTACTGGTCCGAGTTTTCGACCCATGACTGCAAAGCATCGTAAGCGTCCACTCGGCAGTTCTCGTTCGTGTAGCTGACTGCAAGGGCCAACCAAGCGTTCAGTTCTTTGGGATTCGTCTCGACAGCCTTGAGCAAAGCAGCAATGGCCATCGTCTCGCGCTCGTTCTCCTGTTGGCGGAGACCCAATTGATGCCATGCAGAAGCATCTGTGGGATCCTTCTGAACCGCGGCCTCGAGAGCCAAGATCGACTCTGTCAGGTTACCTCGAGCAGCGAGATCCATCAACTTTGCAGAGTCCGCAACGACATAGGGGTTGTTTTGTTCAAACGCATAGTGCTGGTACCGAGGGTCAGAAGCCTTGTAACCCAATCCTGTGGCCTCGTTCTTTTCCCAATCCTTCTGCAACGCGTCCCATTCCTTGTCGCTAGGGTCCTGTGCAAGATGGGCAATGTTTTTCCGGTAGGTGTCGACCCAGCTCTCGTTTTGATCCTGAAGGCGTTGTTGCTGTTGGAATGCGTTCTCGAGTTCCTCGGCCGCGTTGGAGGAATTGAACTCGTTGACCCAGTCCTGTGCAGTATCGTTCCTGGAGGCATTGAATTGTTGTGCCCAGTCTGAAGACGACGTGGATGGGATACCTCCTCCGACGGCGTGCACGGCGCCAGTAAATTCTTCTGCCCAACTGGCCTCTTGTGATCTTGCGAAATCACTCGACATCATGCCACCGGGTTCCCGGTTCTGGATATGTTGTTGGATACGCTTTTCAAACTCTGAAGCCCAGGTACTGCCACCGTTTTGTTGTTGTTGTTCTTGCTGAGTGTTGAATTCAGAGGACCAGTCCGCGGCACGTCCCTTGCCCTTGTCCTGTTGTTGGCTAAATGATGCAGCCCAGTCGCTACCTGCAGTTGACTGAACAGGGGTCGTCTGTTCCACAAGCTTGTTGCCCTCGATCGCAACTTCTTGATCGCGAAGACGACGCATAAAGTTCATAAAAGAAGAGTTTTTGAATTTTTCATTTGATCCGGGATCAACGGATTCGAGCAAGAGACCAGCAGTTTTGGCGAGGGCCTCCTTGTTGTCCTGATCGGCTGCAGAGTTGGTCTCTTGGGCTTGGAATTCTTCAGCCCATGAGGTTGGGTTTTCTTGCTTAAACTCTGATTCCCATTCGCTGACCTGTTTGGCATCCTCAAAGGCTCTCTCAAAGGCTGCGATCTGCTCGGGTTGAAGTCCATGATCCAGACCTCCGTGTGCTTGCTCAAATGCAGAGAATTCGGCCTGCCAACCACCTGTGGAAAGAGAACGATCAACGATGAAAACGATGCACGAGTTACAAAGAGCTCTTTCAAACCAGATTCCACAGATCAGAGCAAAAAAAAAAAAGAGAACAATCGACGACAGAGAAATACATACCGGCGGCAAGAGGTCCAGGTTGGTGCTGTTGCTGCGCGTTCCTAAAGACGTTCTCAAACTCTTGAAACTGAGCATCGTTATGGAACTCGGGATGATGTTGTTGCTGTGGGCCACCCTGCTGCATAAAATCCAGTGCCCAATCGGCGTTGCCACCAGGCGCCGCGATCGGTGCCCGGTGTTGTTGTTGGTGATGGATCCCCTCGAGTTCTTTGCCCATCTCGTTAAATTCGAAAAAGTCTTGCGAGCCACCCGCCTTCTGCGACTGTAAAAACTCTTGAGAGAACTACGAGAAAGACATGAGAAAACGGGAAGTTAGGAAGGGAGAGGAGTGAGTGTCTTCATTTTCATGTTATTTGTCCATGAATCCAATCGGGGTTTCGAGTTCGTGGGTAAGGGGGATTTCTTTTGGGTAGTGGTGACACTTTGTCCTGACTCCACAATTCAGTTTCATTCGATGTTCAATGTGGGTGGTGTCCAATGTCCCATTGCTTCCACAGAGATTGCAAAAAATCCATACCTGGTCCCCTCCTTGCTGTTGACCAGGACGAGCAGTTCGGAAGCCTGCTGAACTTGGTCCGCCATTCCGACTGGCTGCGAAGCGGTCCTAAATGCGGGGAAAATAACAAAAATTATAATATAAAAAAAAGCGTGAGGACAATGAGGTCGAGAAAGAATGATTGCAATGAACGACGTCGTATTACCTGCTGAAGAGTTCTATCCCGAGAAAAGTTCTTGACGAGACCGTTCATGGGGTTGGCAGGGCCACATTCGGCTCCTCCACCAGAGACCAGACTTGGGAAGGACATTAAAGTATGTGTGCTTTAAAAAGTAGATGTATGTATTCTTCAGTTGGTCCGAGGTTTGATTAGGGTGCGAGTTCGTTGACTGGCTTGTGTTTTCCTGCAGGGTATCCTGGGGTTGTGAATGAGTTGAATGTAATTGAGGGGGAGAGGGAGAGAAAGAGAGTGTGAATGCGTCAAAGTAATGATGAGAGAAGAATAGGGGGAGGGGGAAAGTGAACAGAAGGAAGGTTTTTCCCTGTGAAAAAAGAAGGAACGAGAGACCGAGGAAATCAAAGGGAACCAACCAACGACCTCTCGGCCCGAAGGGACCTATGGAAGGAGAAAATGTCACGTGTGAATTGGGCGGAAGAGGAAGAGGAACCTGCCCTGGACTGCCGACCTGCTAAATGTATTTTATTTTCTCTGATCAGCTCCACATTTTCGCTTTTTTACATTCCCACATTCCCCGCTCTTTTACTCTCTCTGACTCTTTCTCGGACAATTCGCACATTTCTCTCGGACTCTTTTTTTTTTTATCTTCTTCACAAATGGCCTCTTTCATCGCAGCGGCTGCCCGGAGGGCATTGACCAAGTCTGCAATTCCCTCGACATTCACACCCAGGACTGCATTGACTGCATTCCGATCCGGATCAACACCAGTCACCCAATCAACTTCTTTTACATACAAAACTGCACAGTTCTCAACAGGCTCAAGTAAACATTTTTTTTTTTTTGGGGTGGATCGGGAAATGTTTTTTTTGCTGTGTAACAGGCCACTATTCAACCAAAGGGACCGTTGGCAGAGAAAAAAAGGAGACACAACGAAGATCCTTTTTTTTTGCTGATCTTTTGTTCGTTTGATTGCATTCATAGGCATTCTTTACACAAAGAAGGGTCGCCCAGGACCAGGACAGGGATTCCAGGTCAACTTTATTATGCAGGACGGTGAGGAGATCACAGTTCAGGCCCATGAGGGTGAGAGTCTGTTGGACGTTGCCTGGGCGAACGATATCGATATCGAGGGCGCCTGTGAGGCCTCGTTGGCTTGTTCGACCTGTCACTTGATCTTGGACGAGGGTTCGTACTCAAAGTTGGAGGAGCCAACGGATGAGGAGAACGACATGTTGGACCTTGCCTTTGGATTGACTGATACGTAAGTATTCGAATCGATGCTGATATCTCTGAAAGAAATCTTGAAACATAGATCGAGTCAATGCAGACCTCTTATTTTTCTTCCCTGACTTCTCCTTGTGTGGGGATCAAACTCTGTAAATAGCTCTCGACTTGGATGTCAAGTGCTGATGAACAAGGAACTCAACGGTATCATTGCTCGCCTCCCTTCCGTGACCAGGAATGCGTAAGTTGTGCCTATTTCTTTTCTTTTTATTTTATTTTGCGCAGTGGATGGATCTCCATTTTTTTTTTTTTTTTTTTTTGGCTGACCTCGATCCACTCTTTTCCTTTCAACAGTCAACTTTAGAATTTATTTAAATAGGGTTATCATGTTGCCATAAATCCAGCATGAATCCTTTCCACATAGCATTTTGGTGTTTTTAAAAAAAGTATTTTAATCCTTATAATAATGCTTCTCAAGTAGATGAAAAAATTCCCAAAAGTTGGACGGGGATGTGATGGTCTCATTGAACACAGGAGGAATAATGGGAGTACGTCCTGAGTATGGACATCAGTAGTGTCTGAAAAAGGTTTCCGCAGAGAGATGCAGGAAAGAGGGACGAACCTAGGGATGGAAAAATACCTTTCTCTTGAGTACTACCGCGCCAATCTTGAAAGAAGGTAAAAAACTGTATGAACAAAAAGAATGAAAAAAGAACACAACACAAAAAAGATGGAGAGGTGGCCGAGTGGTCCAAGGCGCTGCAACAAAAGAAAAACTTCATTGCTGAACCATTGCAGTCTGCTCCATTGAGCAGTCGTGGGTTCGAATCCCTCCCTCTCC